CAGGGTCTGACAGTTGGGTCCTGATGCATGGAATATGGAAGCAGGAGCCTTGTTCCTAACATATGAATGTATGAACCTTCAAAGTGAAGCTACCAACTGGACAGAGAGACAAGCTGCACCAACATTACAAGAGTTGAAAAGATTAAAAAAAAATATTTAAGTCCATGGAATATATGTTATAAAATAGAAGGTTTGCAAAGAGAAAAAGTCCAAATTGTGAGGAACTTCAGCTTCTAAACACCAGGCAGAAGAGGAAATATCTAAATAATGGGGAGGACTGACCAATCAAATGTAGCAAATGGTGTTTCCAAAGCCAAGAGAAGACACTTTAGAACAAAGTATGGAGTCTACATAGGGTATTATTGCAGAAATACTAACCACAATAAAGTCAAAGCTATCCATTAGGAAAATGGAAGTAGTTGGGGATTAATTAAAATTGTATCTGTGACTCTTTAAGGATAGAAGTGAGCTTGGCAGTTCAGAATAAAAATATAAACAAATAGATGAAGACTTGGCACAAGAAATAGACCTTTGATATCCTTGGTTGGGATGGGGTTGAAGAGGGTTAAGCAATACTGAAGCATGGGTGGTCATCTAAGCCAGTAGACTATCCACTCAACAGGCAGAGGATTGATGAGTACTTCCCAGCCAGCTTGTGCCTCTTACATCATGACTTAAGTGCAGGCCACCTCATCTGTCAAATTGCTACCCACAACATCCAGGGAAAGTATTATAAACTGAATAGAACATTTTGATCTATTCCTTAAAACAACCCTCTATGTTAAATTTGTCCCTCTAAATCTACTGTGGTTGGTCAAGGAATTCCTACAAACACCAAAATCCAAGGGCACTTAAGTTTCTTGTATAGAACACCGTTCTACTACACACTTTAAATGATCTCTAGATGGCATATAACATCTAGTATGATATAAATGCTATAGTTAAATAGCTGCTACCTTCTTTGGGAGATTAAAAAGTCTATGCATATTAAATATAAATAATTTTCAATAATTTTTTACTTTATGGTTGAGTCCACAGATGTGGAACCTGTGTGCATTGAAAGTTAGCAGTTATATGTGCATTAGATTTCACCCGTGTCTCTTTTAAAGAAAGAATGAACATGCATTTATTAAGCAAAAGAGAGAAATAACTCCCAATATGGGGTAGGATTCCAAGGTAGGAATACCCACCTACCTCCTTATCTTCTACCTAAATTACAAAAGTCCCTAATTTCTTGGTCTTGGAAGAACTGAAAAAGTAGTTCATGTTATCATTTCTCCTGTCATCATTTAATAGCTTCTAGATTTAATGTTCAAGTGATCAGTTCTCAGTGTTTACTGCAGTCCCTGGGTAAGCTCATGTGAGTGTATATGGGGTTGTTTCCTTCTTGGGAAACCCCATTTAACAAAAAGTGGTAGAAAACAATCAGGAAAAGTAAGGCTGATTCCAATCCCTATATTCGTCCATTAACTGTATGAATTTTGATATATTACTTAACATGTTGGCACACTGGTTGCCCAGCCAGATATCAGTTGTGTCTAATATATTTATATGTTGTATATTTTAAGACCTAACCTCCTTAAAGCCCTTGGCAACTTCAGTTCCCAGTCAGGGAGACCAAGTCATCCTGGTTTTCCTCAGATGGCCCCAGCTTTACCAATGGAAGTTCCATATTTTAGGAATTTCCTTTGGTCTTGGGAAAATCTGAGATGGCTGATGACCCTACATAGAATGTGCCTGTTGTGTATTAAGGAGAAAGGCTGTTATTGTGCATTACACTCTGGGATAATGCCTTCTTCTCTGCTCTCAGAGAAAAGAGAATATTTCAGAGTTATGAGAGGGTGGAAGGCTTTGGACTGATGAGACATTTGGATCTTTAGTGTGACAATGGTCTCCAAGTACAATAACAAAACTGAAAACTTTTTGTTTTTTTCTTCAGAGAAGGGGGTCTCCTGTAGCCCACGCTGGCCTGGAACTTCTGATCCTCCTGCTTCTACCTCAGCGAGTTCTAAGATTACAGAAATTTATAATATGACACCATACCTACTTTTATGGGGCTCTGGGGTTTCCTCTGTGATATGAAAGCACTTTAACAACTGCACTACATGCCCAGACTCCAAGTTGTCTATTTAAATAAAGACAAATAGCTATGTGTGTTGATTACTGTGAGGAGAAACCCCAGTTCTGGAATCCCAGTCATGGTTCAGTGTTAAAGAGAGGTGCCTAAGAAGTAACATAGGAACTCACACAGAGAGAGGTTGTGTTGTTGGGTTTCCTAATTAGCACAGGTATATTTATGGTTTAAATAGAGTAGCTCTTTCACATTTAATTGAAAAGAGAGAGTGGAGATGGGAAAAGATAAGGATAGGGCAGAACAGAGAAGGAAAAGAAAGGTACTCAAGTGCTACAGCTCACATGTGGAGGCCAGAGGATAGTCTGAGAGAAGAAATCCACTATCTTCTACCACCATGTGGGTACCTGGGATCCAACTCAGGCCATCAGGCTTGTGACAGGCACCTTAATCCACTAAACCATCCCACCTGCCCCAAGATTAGTTTTTGCATCCAAAGATAAAGCAGTTTTGGTTGTCTGCTGCTCTTGAAGGTCTAGCCTTATATCTTGCTCACAGTGAAACTTGGAGAACTCAGTTGCTCTCAGCAAAGCTCTACTTCCCTCTGCCCTAGACTGGGAAGGAATAGTACTACCTAGTTTATCATAAATGATGACTCCGATGTCTGTAAATCATTTAGCATAGTGTCGGCCTGACACATAGAAACTTCAAATGATCACCAGTTCTCAGAACTGGCAAGTAGTAAAAGGACAAATGATTGCCTAGTCTAACCACTATCAGGTTTACTTCAAAAGTTGTATGTCTATCTAGGTCTGCACTTGTTCCTATGGTAACCGTTCTTTATCAGAAAGAAAAAGGAACAACATCCAGTAACTTACATTTAAGGATTAAAACACCAAAGATAAGTGCCAACGCCAGCCCAGCAGAGACCCCTACTCCGATGTAGATAGCCATTCTAATGGTTTCTCCAGAGTCCTTCATATCATCTGCCCATGTGGAAATCTGCTGGGGGACAGAAAATGGGAGCCAAGCTTGAGATGTCCAGAAATTGGTCATATGCTCATCAAGTCTCATGGTTCAGGAGGAATACCACTCTTTTTATGGTTTCTTGGGATTACAGGAATGATGAAGTCCTCCCCCCCTCCCCCGCCCCCACTGCTCCACTTGATCTGCCTTCTTCTAGACTAGTCTTAGCCACCAAAGGAATGAAATGGGTTAGTTTAATGTTTGTAGTTAACAAGGAAATAAAATACTCCCTTCAGTGCCATAGGTATAGAAGTCATTCTTTATCCACCTGCACCCATTCCTACAGAGACTTTATAGTAGAATCCTATTGTTTCAAAAATGTGTGTTTAGAGGGACGGAGTTCCAGAGTGGTCTACACTTGAAGTCTTTCAAGGAAACCTCCAGTCACACAGAAAAGCAGTGCTGCAAAGAACTTCGACTTTTCAACCACACAGTCCTTGGTTCAAATCTCACATCCCCAAGAACTCCTGTGGAGTTATTGACAAAGTTAGCACAGAGCCTGTTTCTTAATGAACACTCAGTCGGTAGTGAATACTACTGCTGCTTCTCTCATTTATGATACCAGGGAGTCAAATAGATCATCCTTCTGGTACTAAAATATAAGTCCACATTACACCTTCAAAGACAATAATAGTAAAGAAACTTAAATTTAAAAAAAGCCAACCAGTCATGGTGCTGAACATCCTTAATCCCAGCAGCACTTGGGAGGCTAAGGCTGGAAAGTAGCAAATTTGAGGGCAACTTGGACTACATATAAAGACCCTATTTCAAAAACACCAAAATGCTCATGCATATATGGGAAGCACTAATTAGACTCAGTAGGTTATGAACAGCAACAACAACAAGAATACACAAACTTGGGAGGAGACATGAGGGGGATCTAGGAGGGGGAATGAAGTGGATATTATTGAAATACACTGTATTCATGTACAAAATAATCTAAGAATAAATAAAAACTACACTTAAAACAATACAATAAGCAATGAAAACAATATATCTCAGAGGTTAAATCCTCCATTTGATCACTACACATTGCTTCTGCGAAAGCAGAATTACTATGTACAAGCACTATGGGTTAAGCACTAGTGGGCAACAGAAGTTCTAGATGTGCTCTCTGTCTCAAAGAGGGGAGAGACAAGCACACACAATGCCAGGCACTGACTGTGAGCACACTAATAAGAAACTGAATTAGATGAATGCAGGCTTCTAGACACAGTCCTAAAGAGTTGTTTTTATTATCCTTATCTCTTGATTATTGGTATGTGTGTGCACATGCATATGTGTACATCCATACCATGGTACACAACACAGGAATGATGATTAGAGGACAATTGTCAGGCATCAGTTCTTCTCCTTGCACCATGAGTTCTGAAAATCATTTGTAGTCAGGCTGGGTGGCAAGTGCCTTTACCCTCGAGAAATCTCAATATCCAGTCACTGTAGTTTCTACTGTTGGCTGACTTTTTAGTGATCTTTTCTCTGTCTAGTTCAGTACATAAATTCTTGCCTCTGGGTATTCCTGAGTGGTACCTTGTTAGATAAAAATGAATTTTAAAAGTACAAAATTTAAGCTAGGCATCCCAGCACAGGGAGGAGGAGATAGGAAGATGGGGAGTTCACCATCATCCTTAGCAGCATAATAAGCTTAAGGCCAACCTAGACTACATGACACCTTGTCTCAAAACCACAACAAAATGAAGTGGTAAACCTGAAAACAAAGTCAAGGAACCTTCCACAGTGACACATAGTAGTGAAAGATGAATGCTTATTTCTTCTTGGTGGTTTTCCACACTTAGCATGTGCCAGAAATCTCATACTCATATCCTACTTCTATCAGTAACAGGTTTATATGGTCAGGCCTATCATTGCCAACACATGAAAGCCACAGAGTGTGAAGCCAAGAAGGGTAAAAGCTTTCCCACAGAAGGGGTGGCATGAAGGAAGTCTACAGCCAAGCACAATGTTAGCACACACACCAAAGTTACTTACTGTTTGATTTTTAGCATAGAAGGTCCCCAGAGTCTGTGTCTCTGCTACACACACACATAGGAGAGGAAGTAGACAATAGTTAAGAATTTTTTAACTCCAAATCAAAGAAAAAAATTGAACGTATGAGCAATCCTGTTTACTACTAATTGGTCTCCATATGCTCCACAATAATTAGAAGACCAGCAAAAGATACTGATTGCATACAAACCAATCCCAGGGTGATGTCCTTTCACATAGACAATGAACCCCACTATCGGTTAGGTCTTAAATCCTGGACAAATGGCTGAGGTGCTTATTAAACATACCAAAGTGGATCTGGTTGCCAGGTTCTCCCAGCATGCCTCAGTTCCTACCTGTTATAAGAAATGGCAGGTATGCTCCATCCCCTCCCCTGAACTCTCTAGCCCAGGAGCTGGGCTTCCTTTCCTATACAATCCAACCCTTTGGGCTATGCCAGTCCTTTTTTACTCTTTACCCTACTGGCCTCTTGGTTTTCTAGCCCTGGCTTTCCCCTCTCCCCTCCGCCCTTTCCTCACATGGCCCTACTCAGGGTCATGTTCACTCTGGATTCTCCAAGATGTCTCTTGCTATGTTTTTCCTCTTATCAACAATAAGCCTTCTCCTTCACTATATCTAGGAGCAGTTGTGTCCTCCTTTAATTTTTTTTTCCCCATTTACTATCAATGTTGTAAGAAATGGAGACTTGGGCCTGGAAGACTTACACTGAATATGTCCTTGGTTTTATCCAGAGGTCTAATGAGTGATACAGCAATCCATTAGCGTTGATAACATTCAGTCATATTCTAATTAGACTTTCAAAGACACAAGTCTTTCCAAAAAGTTTAACCTTTACTCATTGCCAAGATATTTAGTTGTTTTCAAATGAAAACAATTGCTACAGTTTACCAGGAGTCAGGCATTTTGCCAAACACTTTTAGTGAACTCTCTCATACAATATGGAAAAGAACTGTCCTAAAAATACAAACTCAGGGAAAGGGACTCTCATACAATATGGAAAAGAACTGTCCTAAAAATGCAAACTCAGGGAAAAGGAGTGACTGCGTGATGAATTCATCAGATCTGAGTCATCAAAGAAACTGGGAGGGAAATTAATAAATTCCTCAAATTGAATAAAAATGAAATATAACATAACCTGCAGAATATAATGAATGTAGTTATAAGAGGGAAGCTTTAGCTATGTAAAGGCCTACATTTAAAAAAATCAGAGAAACTTGAGGTACAACTTAATAATGTGCCTCAAGGTCTTAGAAAAAGGAGAACAATTAAATCCAAAAATAGCATATGAAAACAATAGACATTAGGGTAGAAATTAATGAAATGGAATCAAAAGGACCATTACAAAGAACCAATAGAAAGAAGAACAAATCAGGAAACTCTTGGCCAAATTAACCAAAAGACTCAAAGACACAAAATTAGAGAAGAAAAGGGAGATACTACAATAGCTAAAACTGGCACTTAGAAAATCATTATGGCTGGCAAATCCCGCCCTGAGATCTGCAGGCTGACTGAATCGGTCCTTGAGGACCCTGGGATCCTGACTCTGCTGAGTTCGCTGGGCTATTCCAGCCCTCACAGAGTGCAGAGAGAGCAGAGGGGAGCTGCTTCAGCCCTTGACTTGGGCCCAACTTCCATCTGCCCACCCTGGCAAACCCTGCCAAGGGATCTTCGACAAGATGACTCGACCCCTGAGGACCAAACAACCCAGAGTCTGCTGACATCTCTGCACCAGTGCTGCTCTCACCCACCTGGAGAGCAAGTGCCTCAGACCACCCTGCACCCAACTTGAAACCCATCAGAGTATCAAAGTCAATTGCACAC